AAAAAAAAAAAAAAAGAATGCACAAAACAACTTGCAGTTCTTCATGAGTTATTTGTTGTGAGATAAGATTTAATGGATCTGGCAATAGGAACACATGGTAGTAATATACAGTAAGCTAGGAAAGTTTCTGGAGTTACCGCTATTGAGTTAGATGAAGATACTAGAACATTTAGAATTTATGGAGAGAGTGCCAGGTTTCTAAAGCTACAGGTTTCTTAGAATTTGTGGAGTATTTTATTCAGGTTCCTAGGAATCATGCTGGAAAGTTCATTGGGGAAAATGGCGGTTATTCAAGAAATTGTGATCTGGTATGGTTCGGGTGAGAATTGAAGGAGACAACGAGAATAAACTACCTAGAGAATATGGGATGGTTCCATTTGTATTTGTTGGCACTAAAGAAAGTATGAGAAACATGACAGTTCTTTTAGAATACCATATTGCTTATCTAAAGGAAGTAGAACAGCTAAGAATGGAACACCTACAAATTGATAAACAGCTATGACAAGATCGGTTCTAGATCTTACAGTGGAAGAGGCAGAGATCATGGGCACCCTAATTACACCTCCAGTTATGATACAAATTCTCAGCTGTCTAACCTCTGAAACAGAATCTGAGGGTAAAGATGAGGCGAGTGATTGGTTAGTCATTGGCAGGAGATGATCGAGACAACTGACATCAGTTTGACAGCACGAGACTCCTAGGAGGAAGAGGCAGAAGTGTTTCAGGGGGTCAAGGTTGTGGTGGACCATGTGGTGACAAATCCTCCATCAGTTCTGTGCTCAAAGATCCAGACAGCAATCCATACAGCTTACTTGATAACACAGAATCAGATCCAACTGTAGACATTGATGCTGAGCGAATCTCATCACAGCACTATCCATTGTAGGCAATCTTGTAGACAAAGGACTGATGAAGATGCTGTTCTAATGGATGGAATGACTGAATCTGATACTGCTTTAGATCATATCAGAAGGGCTAGGCAAAAGATGTGGTTGAAGAGCATGGTCCTTCAGAAAAGGCAATAAATGGCCCAACTAGTGCTTCTGGGTATGAAATTTCTAAGCTATAGTATACTCCAAGAGAAGAAAACATTAATACGTTAAAAGAAGAAAACACTCAAGAAACAGCAGTCCTGAACGGTGTTTCATAAACCAAAGA